AGGTTTCACTTGATTATCATTTAAACGCTTTTAGACCGACTCACGCACTTTTTTTTTTTCTTCCCTCTTCAGCTTTACTAGTTTTGGAAGTGAGTCAGCCTCCTCCTTTTGTTTTATTTATTTTTACATGGTTAAGTCATAAAGATGGGAATTTATGATTTAATTAATTGGATATTATAGAAAAGCTTAAATCACCTTAAGCATAAGTTAAAGAGTATGTTTCCTAGAGTTGTAGGAGCACACCCTAGGTAAGAGTCCATCCACCTAATCCTCAGTGTAGACCTCCTAAACTTTAGGTGCACACCCTAGGTGAGAGCTCATCCACCTAGTCCTCGGTGTAGGCTTCCTAGAGCTTAGGCACACACCCTAGGTGAGAGTCCATTCACCTAGCCCTCAATGTTGGCTTCCTAGATTTTAGGTGCATACCATTGGTGAGAGTCCATCCACCTAGTCCTCGGTTTAGGCTTCCTGCACTTTAGGAGCACACCCTAGGTGAGAGCCCATCCACCTAATCCTCAGTGTAGGTTTCCTAGACTTTAGGAGTACACCCTAGGTGAGAGTCTATCTACCTAATCTCTGCAGTGTAACCTCCCAAGGTTTTAGGAGCATACCCTAGGTAAGAGTCCATTCACCTAATCCTCGAATGCACAGTGAGACTAGACACTTGACCCTAATTCACAAACTGACTAAGACACTAGACATGATACACCGAGACCTGACCCATGCTTTCTTAATTAAATCAACAGTGAAATTTCCTCAATGACTTAACCTATAATGAAACTCAGTGCACCGGGATTTGAGCTTAGATATTAACTCAAGTTTTTCTGGCAATTGGGGAAATTTGTTAATGCCACATATGGATCACCGAACTAGGATAAGTCTAGGGTCTAGGTGAGGTGAGGCGATGACGACATTGCTTATGCGTGCTTAAACGAGGAATACGAAGTGAAATTATTAGAAGAGTGAGATTATTATAATAATATCTCCTACCTCAATGATCTTCTATAAAAGTGAGGAAATGATTGATGATGCTATTTGTCGACCCTTGGCGGGATTGTTGCTCTCGACGCTGTTAGGGTGTCAGTTGTTCTAGCACGATTAGAGCGACTAACCTGTAAACTATATGACTTTATAAAAATATTTACGAAAATAAAACAAAATCCCTTTTGGATGTTAAAAAGAACTCTGTATAAAAAGGACTTAAACAACTTTTGCATGAAAATCAAATAATTTTTCTATGAAAATTTATAAAATTCAATGTTTAGTCATTTGGATTGATGTTAAGAACTACCTTCTATAAATTGTCGAGTTGACAACTCTTACTCAAGGTCGGGAAGCACACAGCCCAGCTCTGAGCCCCAACTTTTACCAATGTCTTATACCTAGTCATGAGCACATATGTGATTACAGGTTTTTTTTGCTCGTGATTTCTACTACTCATTTTTATGACTTTCATGCTGAGTTTTCTTGTCTTATTTATTTTTCTTGCAAGTATGTTTAAATATGTTGCAAATCATACTATGATCACAATATTAATCACACAATAGTAGCAGATGCCCAGGTACGCTTTTACAGTTTATCTATAACATTTTACTTTACTGCATTATATCTTTCAAGTACCTTTTATTTATCTACAATTTGACTACTCTGCATGCAAAATCAAAACTGAAACAAAACAAAATCAAACTTTGGCACCAAAATTGGGAAACACAAATCACCAATCTCAAAAACACTGGAGTCATCGCTACGACAGGAGCTTGGAGCCAACATACCTTTCAAGTACCTTTTATTTATCTACAATTTGACTACTCTGCATGCAAAACCAAAACTGAAACAAAACAAAATCAAACTTTGGCACCAAAATTGGGAAACACAAATCACCAATCTCAAAAACACTGGAGTCATCGCTACGACAGGAGCTTGGAGCCAACTTTGTGGGCAGCACGGCGAGGAATTCAGACCGAGCAGCAAGAGGATCTTCTTCAGCATTATCCTTTCCTAGCATAATAACAACCTATAGGACTTCAAGGTTGTTTGCTCAGCGCGACGTAAATCATCACATCTTCTTTAGGCTCTTGTACAACCATGTTGTGCAGCGTAAGTCCTAACTCGCCTTAGGTTCCGAGGTTGTCATGTGACACGACGTAAACCCTCTTATTTCTGCGGGCTATTTGCATAATCGAGTATTATGCATATGTAAGTCTAAAATTAAAATAATAAAATTGATAGGATTGAACAATTGAATAACACCGTTTCTAAAACGCAACCACATAGTATAATAGTTTGGGAAGTCAATGAGGGTTCTCCTCAGGATCTGTGACGTCCCCTAGCTTTTTCTTTCTTTGTACTCCTAAAAATAACTGTTCCTACTTGAGTCACTCTCACTTGTTTTTCCATGTCATATCGTGAAAACTTAAACTACCTTGAGATTTTGAAGACCAGCACCTCTGATCACTATCGAGAGTTTTCTCGAGTGACCCCCGTCATTTGGGATATAATTAACTATAGGGGCTTGCCTCTATAGGGAACTTGGAACCCAGATAAAATAAACCTTATTTAATCTTTGCATTAGATAGGGGAACTTGTCGGTCATACATAAAAGATTTGTAGACCAAAAGGATGTCACAAATCTCTTAGTTTGCAGGATTGAGTCTATTGCCGAGGTCTACACTTATCTTTCGGGAGGATGTAGTATTCGTGGTATTGGGCACGATTATGCAAACTATTGAACGAATGAGATCTATTTGATCTCATTTTTTGAAAATTAAAACATATCACTTTCAAAACCTGAACTATATATCTATTTTATTAAATTAAATTTCAAAAAATTATTTTCATATCCATATTTTCAAATCATCGAAAAGTTGACCGACAGTAGGTATTGGGTTTTAGGTTTATTTTTTGCTGGATAAAATAGTAGGTATAAAATTCCTAAGATCCTGATGTAGGATGAGTAAGGGCGGATGGCTTCTACTGCAATTCTGGATGTTATGCAAAATGGAAAAAAAGTCATAATATAATTGAATATTGTATTTAAATTTAATGACATCATGGTTTACTCATTCCAAAATTAATATAATTTAATTGTCATTGAAATCTGAAATTCTACAAGATAACATGTCAGCAAACATAAAATTTACGTCGATCAAGCCATATTGTTAAAATGAAAACTTGAGACATATTTTGACAAAAGTTTAATCACCATAGAAAACTTGTGTCCAAACATATTAAAAAGAAGAGCATTGATAGAATCATCCTTAAGTAGTTATCCAAATGTATGAACAATGCACATACAACATGCACAGGAGTGCAAAATTTTAATTGTATTTCAATATTCCAACTGAAGTGTGGAAATTTTTAGGAGATTTGGGAGTTTCTTGGCTTACTGAACTCTAATATTATTTTAAAAGCTAAAAAGATGCCTGAGGAGTTGAGAAAAAGTATTTTGGTCCTCATTTTTAAGAATAAAGGGGATGCACAAGAGTGTGCAAATTATAGAGGAATTAAGTTGATGCGTCATACTTTAAAATTATGGGAGAGGGTAATTGAACATAGTTTAATATGTATTACAAAGATTTCTCATAATCAATTTGGTTTTATGTCGGGGCAGGTCTACCATGGAAGCTATGCATTTATTGAGAGGTTTGATGGAGAAGTTCAGAGATAATAAGGAGGATCTACATTTGATTTTTATTGATTTAGAAAAAGCTTAGGATAAGGTTCCAAGAGATGTCCTTTGGAGCGTTCTTGAGAAGAAAGATGTTGATTTGACTTATATTCAAGTCATTAAGGATATGTATACTAGAGTTGTTACTTGTGTTCGAACTGAAGGAGGATTGACCAAATATTTTCCTATTTCTGTTGGATTACATCAAGGACCGGCTTTAAGCCCATATCTTTTTGCTTTAGTTATGGATGATCTTACTGGACATTTACAGGAGTATGTATCTTGGTGTATGCTTTTTGCTGATGATATCCTTCTCGTGGATAAGACGAGAACAAAAACCCAGGAGAAACTTGAATTATGGAGGTATACATTGGAGTTTAAAGACTTTCATTTGAGTAGAACTAAAGCTGAATATGTGGAATGTAATTTTAGTAGTAGTAGCTCTAGTGATAGAAGTGTAACTTTGGGTCATCAAATTATTAAAAGGTGTGAACGATTTAGATATCTCAGATTGTTTTTCAAAGCGATGGTGTTATAGATGGGGATGTTAATAGTAGAATTCAAGTTGGTTGGTTGAAATGGAGGAATGCTTCGGGCCTTTTGTGTGATAGAAAAGTACCACTTAGACTGAAAGGAAAATTTTATAAGAGAGTGGTGAGACTTGCAATGCTCTATGGCACTGAATGAAAAGTATCGCTTAGCCTTTAAAAGTGAAGCATAATACTAAGTTAAGTGTTGCCGAAATGAGAATGATTATGTGGATGAGTGGCTTTACACTTAGATACAAAATGCGAAATGAATATATCCGGGATAGGGGGATAGGGTTTCGAGTATATCCGTGATAGAGTTCGTGTAACTTGAGTGACAAACAATCTTAGATGGTTTTCTTAGATGGTTTGGTCACATTAAGAGTCGACCATCTGATGATCCGATTAAGAAAGTAGATGTTTTAGATTCAACTTATGTTAAGAAAGACAGAGGCAGACCTAAGAAGACTTGGGCTTGTTGTATAAAAATGATCTTAATACTTATCCATTTCTTCTCCTTCCTCACTAGCTAGCATATCATATAGAAAGGATTCATGTACGTAGTAGGATAAAGGCTTTGTTGTTGTTGTTGTTGTATAGTGGGTGTTCCCTTTTTTTCATCCTCAGGCCTCTTTAATTAGCCAGCATGAAGCTTTATTTATTTATTTATTTTTGCGGTGAAATAGATTGTTTTGATCTTATTAAAGATGACATGGTAACATTCTTTTGCTAGTCGATTATGTTATTATAAATTATCTATTTGAATCTTTAGTATTTTTTATATTCGTTTTTACCTTTTTGGTCAGGGCTCTGCACCAACTATATCGATAGATAACACAGGAGGCTGCCAACTGTACCTGAGCAAAGAGTCACTGGAATGTTCTATAATTACCGCTAAATCAAATGCAATTAATGTAATGGTTCGTGGACCAGGCTCTGAGATTGATTGGGTATGTTTTGTTGTTTAATTTAAAAGTCTGCATATCATTATTTTTTTTAACTGCTGCAATTCAATTACTTTGCAAATTTTTCAAGGAATGTGCAAATACTGAACGGGTATTGTGCCCTACCTCTATAGAACAGTGTTTCCAATGCGCTAGAATCACCCAAAGCAATATATGGCTGCCCAATGCTCAAGACTCTAGATTCTCGCTTAAATGACGTGGAAAACTAAAAGAGAAATGGTTACATTGCTATTGAATTTATTCAATTATGAGAAATAATTTTGAAGAAAATAAAACAATAATCATCACAAGAGCTTGTGGCGGGGAAACTTTTGTTTTCAAGTTCCATTACGTTGCAAATTCTAAATTTGCTTAGTAGATTAATCTAATCAAATATATTTAAACTGCTTGGGTTTGTTGCATACATAGTCCTTAATTATTACTACTATTACTTCATCATTATCTTTGCTCTTCTTAATATTAATGAATTTGTGCCTCTCCATATCTTATTTTGTTGCATACATAGTCATTAATTATTGCTACTATTGCTTAGTAGATTATTACTACTAATGTAAGATTACTAAACCTTGATCAAAATAGGTTAAGGTAAAAACTTTGGAATACACTCATGAATCTTGCGAGCCCTGAAAATTCTCTCTTTAACCTATGGCTTTCTCTAAAATCAATCTATCTCATACTAACATCATCCTGGATAAGGCTTTCTAAAAAAATAAAGAAATAAGGGTAAGAAAATCTCACCACCACGAAAGTTTTCGTAGCATTCTCTTTGTGTGTCCAAGCTTTTCCTTGTGCAAGGAAGTAAACTCAAAGAACTCTCACTCTTGCTCTCACCTTAATAAGAGATGAAGTGGAAGAAGAAGATCAAACAAAGAATGAAGAAGGAGAAGCCGAGGGAAAAAGGAGATGAGGAAGAAGAAGGTGGCTCTTCCTTTCTCCTCTATAGTTTCTCTCCAAATGCTCTCCAAGATAACGATGAGGAGAGTGAATTGGTTGAACGAGTTCAACAACAAGGGTGGGTCGGTCCAGCTGGGAGGCCGGTATGGCTAGTGCTTCTTAAGGCAGAGACTACCACCTTCCCCTCCCCTTCCTAGTTATTTTAAATATGTTCATTTCTGTCTTAGGGTTTAGTTTTTTGTCTTTCTGATTTCAACTCAGCATGGAGTTTAGTTATTTTAAATATGTTCATTTTTGTCTTAGGGTTTAGTTTTTTGTCTTTCTGATTTCAAAATTCTGTCCAGCTCATCATCATCAGTTTTTTTTCCATTTAGGGCTGTATCCGAAGGAGAGAGGTTGCTTCGGTTGTAACACGTCCAAGGTGGTGATCTTCTCCAAGAGAGGGTGCTCCGGTTGTAACACGTCCAAGGTGGTGATCTTCTCCAATGATTTGAGGGGTGCTCTAACTATAACCCAATCCCGCGAGAACATTTATCTTCTCCAATATCCATCTGCACCCCCCTCTTTCCTATTTTCAGCCACCATTCCAAGTTCTTTTCCCTGTTGTTTCTACTGTCGTCACCCTCCAGTTGCTCAATTGCTATCGGATATTGCTCTACCGCCCAACCTGACGTTGCAAACCACTCCTTTCTTTCTGTGTCGCAGTCTCTCTTGTTGTTGTATCCTACTCTGCCGCCTAGCCTGCCATTGCACGCCACTCCATCAACTCCTTTGTTGTGCTGCCACCTTCCTATTCCCTCAACCTGCTATCGCATTCTGTTATTCCTCTTAACCTGCACCCTACCAGCTATCAAGCCACCACCATTACCCCTTCATCGTCGCCCTAGGGTATTTTTTATGTTTGTTATTATTTATTTACTGTTT